GAATTTTGAGGTTTGATTTCACTTCTTTATTTACCACAATTTTAACAGGAACTTTCTTTATACTCTCTCTTGCACCTACTAAGCACAGAATTTTGATATTGATTTCAATTTTTTATTTACCTCAAAATTCAAGTACTCCAATCCATTTAAGTAAAGCACAGAAGACTTGTTTTACTTCTCCGAAGTTTTTTTTGGAGATTTCAGCTATTTTTCTGAAGCAAGAGACATTAATTCTATATTGATAATGGTACTTTCCTGTTATACGACTATACGAGACTACGGCTGTTATCGAGACTACCACCCAAGACTACCTCCGTTGTCGAGACTACCGCACTTATTTTGTGAAACATCACAATCCTGTTATCTAAGACTACCAAAATGGTACTTCCTGTTATACGTGACCACCTTTATTTTTCTTGCCTTCTTTGATAGATTTTTTAATAATATGTACTTTGGGGATGGCCAGAATGAAATAAAGAAAACATTTAAATACATAGGTAGTAATTATTCGTAATGTATTTTACATGTTACACGTCAAAGTGCCAAATTTGGCGCGATGTATGGAAAACAATAAATTAATAATAATAATACAAAATGGTGAATCCACAAATAAAATATTAAATAATTTAGGTACGTACTGTGGGGATGGCCACATTCAAATTATATAAAAAAAATGTAATACATAATAATTATTTGTAATGTACCAAATTTGTCGCGGCATACGGAAAACAATAAAATAATAAAATAATAATAATAATACAAAATGATAAATCCACAAATATAATAAATATAATCGCAGCTTATGGATATCGTTCGACTATAATGTCAGCTAAATAAGATAGGTAGTCGCCATAACGGAGGTAGTCTTTGGTGGAAGTCGCGATAATAGCCGTAGTCTAGTATAACAGGAAAGTACCTTGATTATCTATTCTATAATTATATATTATTTCTCTTCTAATACTAATATGTGAGCATTTTTTGAATTGATCGGCCATGGTCTTTTAATTAGTAGTTTATGCAGTACTTGCATAAAATACGGACTCCGCGAGACAGCAGAGAAAGATTAACATACGGCCGACCGTCGGTACGTTTATCACTGTTATTGTAATAATGTACATTGTACATTTTACGGATGGTAATAAATAATAATCGAACGGACGGACAATATAGCTACAGTGCTACACACAACCTGCAGCACGGCGGATAGTGAGTAAATGAAATCAGAAATAGTAATAGGAATTAGGAATTAGGAGTAGGAAGCGCGTTGCGGAGTGCGCTATGCCACACTGCCGCGCCGCCGTGCAACCAAGGTCACGCACTCACGCATGCGCATATCGTCACAACTCAACGCGGTATTGCGAAAGCGAAAAACTAGTAAATTCGACCGATCTCCATATACGTTGCATGTAAAAATCAAAATATCGTCCGTTTTCCTGTATATATATCTCTCTGTTCACTCTGTGCTACGACACCGGGCCGCCGTAAAGCACAGAACGCTCTCTAGCGAGATCTATCGATTATGATATATTTTTTTAAGATATATTTTGCCCGACGAACCATGATAAGACGGATTTTTTTAAATTTTTTTTTAACTATAAACGCCCAAGGGCATATAGTGCAAAGTAAGTAGAACAGATTGTAACAATCATAATTACAAATATATAATATTAACAATAAAAGATTATAAGTAAATTATTACATCACATAGCTATAGAAAAAAAACACAAAAAAAAACAATAAATTAAATGATTATAATTACAAGGATACATTCAAACAATATATTAATTAATAGTAAGAATTATATTATAGTATAATTGGTTATTCAATATTAATGTTTTAAGACAAGTTTTTAATTTAGGTAGCGAGTCGAAAAAAAAAAATCAAATGTTTCTAGCTTATTTTCCAACATAAGCGAAAAGACAATAGTTTTTTTTTATGCGTTGGAATCTAAAATGTGGGATTTGCGTTAAAATTGGAACGTGGTGTGATATTAGGGATCGAAGACAGTCGATTTTGGAATTTAACAAGTTATAAAACCAACGCAAATCAGAATGTGGCCTTCTGAATTCTAAAGATTCTATGTTAAATTCTGAAGCTATCATTGCTAGTGATAGATCGTTTTTATGACATTTATGTGAGAACATACGTAGGAATCTGTTCTGAACTTTTTCTTATTTATTATTAGGGTAATTTTGATTAGGATTCCAAATCAAAGACTCGTATTCAAGAACAGATCGTACAAGTGAAAAATAAAGGACTAAAGAAAAAATAAAGGCAAGTAGGGTCGTTGACCTCCCAACAATTACGTTTTAAAAATCCAAAAACACTGAGTGCTTTATTACATGTTATGTTGATATGTTCAGTAAACATTAGATCTTTAGAAAAACTTATACGCAAGTCTTTAACAGTAGTTACTATATCAAGTTTACAATTATTACTTTAATACTGTGAAATTATGTTTTTATTATTTTTTTTTTACTTTTTATTTTTACTTATTCTTCAAGAAGATAATGGGCCTCACTGAACATATTCATGTGGGGGCCCATGAGTTCACAATTTGATACAATTTGTTCACAATCATAATATTATGTTATTCCTTATACAAAAACTATAATTATTTAATTTGTAATTTGTATTGTAATAAATGTTCCAATAAATAAAAAATGATTATATATGAACAATATATTAATACGATATAAATAGTTATAAAATATATACTATGTATACTGTATAGGTAATAATTTTTTTTTTTATTTATTCTTCAAGAAGATAATGGGCCCCACTGAACATGTTCGAGTGGGGGCACATGGGTTCACAATTTGAAATATAAATACATTAAATAGTTCTTCTAAATTAAATATTTACAATTTGTAATATACATTTCTCACATACCTAACTTTAATATTAATAATATAAGTAATATATATTTTCTTATCTTTGTTTATATAGTATTATGTAAAAAATTGTGTAGTTAAATAATACAATATAATATGGTAATATAAAACTAAAATTAACAATAATTACTAAAGTCGTACAACTAATATGATAAATAATGCAGTAACCCTATACGTTTGTTATGAGTAGGTCTATTTTATTCTTGTAATAGCCAAAGTGAAATTTTTTTTTTTTAAGAATCTTAAAAGAGTTGCTGTGTTTAATTTCTATTGGTAGTATATTGAAAATTTTTGGACCAATATATAGGTATGTGGATTGTGTTAATTTTTTGTGCATAATTGGTACTTTGATATTAGATATTTGCCTAGTATTGTGTCCGTGTTCAGTTTTAAAAGTAAGGTTATTTTTAATTATGTAAAGTACCGAAGCTTTATAAAATAATTTTTTTATTGGTAGTACATTTATGTCATTATATAAATATTTTGTGTGGTATCTTGAGTCTTTTTTTTAGAATAATTTTTAGTATTTTGTTTTGGATTTTTTTTAATGGATCTATAGTTGTATAATCCACATTTTAAGATTTTCTATTTAAATGAGGAATAATTACTTTTAAAATTTTGTAATTTTTTAAATATTCGAACCAAATTTAAAGGAGTTGAAGATCGACATTTTAAAAAGTGGACTGATCGATCTCAAGTAGACATATTGACAAATTCAAATCAGTTTTCAAAAGTTATATCGGGTTAACAGTTCCATCGGTGTGATTGACAAAATATTGGTACCTATATTTTGGATGAAATAATAGACATTTGCAATACCTTTAAGGGGCCTCACTACCAAGTCTTTTTTTGTCAAAAACTACTGTTTCTAATTCCAACGATACGTGTCGACAATTATCACGATTTTCATTCTGAAAAGATATTCTGATTGTCCGTAATATATACAAGGGAACAATCGAGCCACATTTTTAATTTTTGTAATTTAAATTGCAATAAAAATTGTAAAAAAATCAAAAAAAAATACAGAATTTCCAACTTAAATATTTAATTAACTAAATACAATTTTAAAAATGTGCCTCGATCGATCCCTCGTACATGTTGTGGAAAATAAGAATATTTTGTCAGAATGAAAATCGAGGTAATCGTTGCGACGTACTGTTGGAATTAGAATCGTATGTTTAAGTGAAAAATAACTAATAAGCATTTTTTTCATGATCACAATATTATTATATATTGACATGTGTGTGCGAGTGCGTGCTAGAGCCCTCCGCACCACTACAATTATTGACCCGCATGGACGCCACAGTGCCACACACACTAATAATCATTTACGACTAACACATAGATCTCGGGTGGCGACTTCGTATAAAAAATAAAGGCATGGTGTGCTTCTACCTAATACGATTAGAGCACTTATCATGGGCCCTTCAGGCTGTAGGAAAACTAATTTAATATTCACATTATTAACATATAAACGGTACCTATACAATTTCACATTAACATTAACGTCTACATATATTCAAAAACATTGGATCAACCAAAGTATAAATTGTTGAGTGATATTTTATCAGACATTAAAGGAATACAATTATTTACGCTCTACGAAAACGAACAAACTATTGAACCTGAAAAAGCTTTACCAAACTCTGTGTTTATTTTCGATGATATTTTACTGAAAACCAAAAGATTGCAAGAACCTACTTTTCCAGAGGTCGACATAATTTAGTAGATGTTTTCTATTTAGCTCAGAGTTATTCAAAAGTACCTAAACAACTTCTGCGTGATAACGCAAATTTTATTGTTTTATTTAAACAATACGAAACCAACTTAAAGCATGTTTACAATGAACATTGCTCCGGTGATATGTCATATCCTGAGTTTTAGGCTTTTGTACTTCATGTTGGAGTAAAGGGAGATTTGAATTTATCGTCATAAACAAAGACAGTGAACGCAACACTGATCGATATCGTTACGGATTCGATACGCTTGTCGTTAAAAAACAAAAAATTATTTAACCAATTAACCATAAAATTAATTTATTGAAATTTGTATTTAATTAATAATATCAATTCGACACTTAAAACATTAATTATATTTATTAAAATATTAATTTACAAATAAAAATAAAAATTGTAAATTTCTTTGTTTAACACCAAATATATTTATTACTTGTTCTATATATTCATCCTTTTTATCATCAATTTTTTCCCTATGTACACTTATCATACATAAGCCATAAAGTCTATCTTCACTCATTGTAGATCTCGTCCATGTCCTTAGTGTACTGAATGATCGTTCTACAGTGCATGTCGTAGGTGGCAATGTAATATATATCAATATATTTTTCTTGACAGCAGGAAAAAATTCACACTCCTTTAACAATTTTTTATAATCTACCATTGTATCATTTATAAATGATTGTGATTTTAATTGCCAATAATCATACCAAATTAAACCATTAACTTTTATATTAGGTATTTTAAAATGATTTTCAATATCTTGAAGTATGTTAATATATTCATTTTTTTGTAGTTTAACCATTTCATTTGGAAGCAACCAACATAATTTAAATGGAGTCTCGTTGTTTTCATTAAATCGATTATTTAACGAGCTAATAATAGAGTCTAAATAATATGGTATATACATGGATACTCTGTAATAATCTTCAATAGAATCATTTGATGAACAGTTATGATTTGATCGTCGACTCTGATGATTTGTTCTTCGAGGTATTTTAAGTACAAGTACAAAATCTAAGCTATTCGCTTAATTATTGAGTAACGACTCTAAACTGAATAGTTTTCATCTCTAATGGGTATTGGACAATAGGTATTGGGTAGTGGGTACCGACAACCGGGCTATGTGCATGTATAAAATACCCACTCCGTTTCCGTACTTCTTTATTATATATAAATCTGTGATTATAAATAAAATATTATGCTGGTGTACACGCACACACAAACATATTATACATATCGTATTGTGGCAATACACAATATTTTAAGAATTGATAACTTTAATATTCATAGAATAGAAACGAAACAGTGTGTTGTTATTTATAGCTGATAACCCGATTTGCCAAACTGAATAAACCGACTTTTAATAAACAAATTATAGATTTTCATAATATATTAAAATACATTTTTAAATTCTGTTTAAATAAATAAGTAGATTCTGATCACAGTAAACAATTTTTCAAGTTTTTCGACATTTTCCAGGGGGGGACATGTCCCTCCCTTGCCCCCCATATGGGCGCCCTTGGTTATATAAACTATTGTTATTTTTATATTTACTTCATTCGCAAATATGTCGTCTAAAAGCGAGGTTATCGGAGAATTGATTAAAGTTAAAGAAAATATTAAATGCAAGTATACTGCATTAAAACATGGAAAAGCTGATATTCAATCTTTTATATCACAAACATTTCAACCAATAATCGAACCTCTAAAAAAATTTTCTTAAACTTCCAAAGTCGATGGTGATATGGTTTCCAACACGTCCGGTGATCGGTTTACAAATTTTCGTAAATTAATTAATCAAAATCAATACAGGATAACAAGAGTCGTAAAACTAACAAGTGGTTGGAACGCAATTATCACAAACAATTGGCGATGTTGAGTATGAAGAACTAAGTAGAGTACTGAATTCGTTAAAGTTCAGTTTCATATACGTCAAAGGCGATCAGAAAAAACAACTTCTTTAGAGTATATTCCTCACATCGGAATCATCAATATTGAAGATATGGGATGCCCTTCACTAGACCAAATATGCGATGAAGAAACTTTACCAAGCTGTATTTTTCATATGAATTTCAATCCTAAACAATGTTAATTTTATAAAGTATTTAGCTTAAGAAAATGGTTTGTAAATAATTTATAAAAATAAATATCATATTTTTTTTTTTTTTTATACCGATGTTTATTTCTTTATACTATCCTATTCTAACTATAAGCAATAATAATAATAATAATAATAATAATAATAAATATAATATAATATCCATAGAGATACTTTACAAAAATTTTAATATCTGCAGGGATATTTCACAAAAAAAAAAAAAATATATCTACAGTAATATTTTATTATATGAAAACAATTCATTATGACTAAAAAACTGTCTGTTTAGCTCAGTTTCTGGAAGTTGCATTAACAAAATTCCATGTTGCGTAATTAAATTTTCAATAAGCAATTTTTTTTTTTTGAAAATGATTTGTCTTTACAAGATATACATTTGGATAACAATTTTTTTTTTGTTCACTAGTTACATTGTGTTTATTTAAAAGATATCTTGTCAATGAAGACTTGGTAGAAAATTCTCCTTTGCATATATCACAATTAATCGCCATTTTGAACATAAAGTTAAAATAAAATAGGAAACTCTATCTTTTGTTTATTAGTTATTACTATACTTGATCAAAGTTGTGAGTAGCATAAAATTGATTTTTGTGATTTTATGTCTAAATCACACAACGGACACATCCAAATTAGTTTTTTTTTTTTTAATTTTAACATTTTCATTGCTAAATGCCATGAAGTTTTGGTGCAATATGGTTTAATACTATTAATATTAACATCATTCTCAAGTATTCCTGAACACATTTTGTGTGGTTGACATTTTATATAGGATTCTTCAATTTTGTAGTTGTTTCTACGGACCTGATCTACAACGTTTTTATTAGTTAACCATTCAATGATTATATTTTCCTCAATTCTGTAATGTTTCTTTGTAAGAGGTGTAGGTTTTGTTTGAACATGTTTTTTTGATAATCAGATAGTTGTTTAAGTAGCTCCTTTTGGTCTGCCACAAACTTTAACTTTTTGGGGTAACATAATGCATGCCAGCTGAGATATATTTTCTTTGACTGAAATAATTAAAATTAATTAAGATTTACTAACATACTATAATAATATATACAATACGTCTTACCAACAGCTTCAATAGCATTCGGTAAATTAGCAATAAGCTCATCAGCGCTAGGTATAATGATGGCATCATGATCATCAGTATCTTCTACATCAACTTCCTCATCAATTATATTATCATCGAAACAAAGTATATCATCTTTCTCTTCAAGTACACAAGTATCATCTTCTACATCAACTTCATCTTCATCTTCCAACAATTTTATCGACAACTCTTTATTATATGCCCAACAATCAACTATTAATTTCAACCGTTCAATTTTTCTATGGGACTGATCATTTGACATAGTACTTAAAACTTCTGAAATTTTAGATGAAAACCACTGACGCTTTTCTAAATTTTTCGTGCGATGTTAAATATTTTTTCGTTTGTGCTGGTTGGTGTGTTATTGAAAACTATTTTTATCATTTCTCAATGTATTGAATATAACATGCGATTTTGTGTAATAATTTCTTGTCCACCTATTATCGCAAATTGTAGTATCAAAGAGAGATAAGTTTTCATCTTCTCTTTTTTTGAAAATGTGTTAACACGGGAGTTTCAGAGACCTAAAAAGCCACAGCTACATGATTGGTCTGTTGTACCTTCAACAATGGTGTTTTTTGTAGCAGTTATTTTTTCAAAAAATCATAGGCGTGGGGAGTCAATAGTCTAAAATATTGTTTTTTTACAGCATTTGGAAACTTAGTTGTTGGCCATTTTTGAACTAAGTAGTGCTTTACTATCTCGTTCTATTCTAAGACATTTTATGACAACAAATAATTTTTCAAAAAACTCTTGTAAATTGGAAAATGAGTCGATCCCAGATTTCAATTTCCCATTGAAACTTTCTAGACGATTATTTTTCCTATTTAAAAAATTACCACTGTCATAAGTCATGCCTACCACCCACTCATTTCTAATAGTATGCCAATTTTTATGAAAATTATCCATGACCTGTGCTGGTGCAAATGATTTAAGAGTATCATACAATTTTTGATACTCTTCTTCGTTATGAGAATAGCACAATTTTTCAAATAAAGCCTTTGATTGGTCCCTTTCTTGAGGTGTAATGCCCAATTTATCACAGGTGATTTCTAGGTGGAAAGTACGCAGTGCATGAAATAAACATATTAAAAGCTTTGCATCTGGAAAAATGTCAATTATAACTCTTTTCTTATTCATATCTTTGTCTGTCATGAACATATGAGTATTAGTGCTAGCAGGATTATTTTCTGCTGAAAAAACTCTTTCAATGTTTCGTGGAGGTCATTAACTAATAACCCTATTGAAGCGATCTCACTTTGTCCGTTTCAATCTTCTACCAAAAGAACATCAACTGGTATCCTACTATCAATTAATTTATACGTAGCATCAGCAAACACAATCTAGGGGAAATTTTTTATAAAAATTAACATAAATTAGTTCATAATAAAATTGTTACTTATATTTACTTCTGGAAAGGCTTCAAATACAGTTTTCATTCTTTCATCTTACAAAATTATTCCCTGTAAATTGTGTTCACTGTCGGTTAATATTTCTATATTACATTTGTATTTCACTCTGAGCTCTTCAACAATTTGTTCAAAGTTTTTTTTTCCATCATTTGTTATCCTTACAAAAATAAATGATTAATATCAATATAATTACAATCTGACAACTTTTACTTAACTTTAAAGAAAGAAAAATAGAGTACACATAATATAAATACCTTTGGTTCGAATGTTAGATAAATCTTTTAGAGTAATAATTTTTCCCGTTTCTGTAAGATACTTATCCTGGATTAATTTTTTGTTTGCCCTCATGTCCATCAATTTAATAATATCCGATTTATCTTTAGGAGTCATACGTCGTTGGTTGGGCAAATTATTAAATAGTGTTTCATTTGTTTCATGATTATAAGTATCGCATATTTTATCGATTACCAATTTATCCATATCATTTATTTTTAAGTAAATAAATGATGGACACTCTTGTTTTATTGTCCTAAATAATGTTATGCAATAAACTTTTATAAAAGAAAACCTATTATTTAAAATAAAAATATATACTAACGATGTAACGCTTTTCTCTAAACATGTTTTTCTTTTTTTATGAACTCCGCCATGGATACATGTATACTTCACAAAATAATAATTTAAGCTTTCCGGAGTTTTTTCTAATTTCTTTGGACATGTTTTTTTTGCTGAATTTAGTGTTCTGCAGTCACTAATGGCAAAATCCATAAATTTTGCTTTATTGTAAGCAATTAATGCTCGTTCAAATTGGTCAAAAGAGTTAAATTCATATCCTATTTGCAGAGGTTACGAAACGCAGCTGTGATTATTGAGGCTCTCGTCTGTCAATCGTCGGGTACCAGCGAGAATGATGCCTAGCGCTCCATGCGGTACTATTTAGCTTTATTTATATTTTTCCACGATACTTTTTGAATTTTGCGGCAATTTTTACCATGTATTTTAGTATTTAGTTGGCGGTTCAAAATCATCATTTAGATTAACTTTAAAATAATTATTTTCATTAAGCATTGTCATTGTTTCATTCACCTAATAATGTTTTAATTTGTAAAAATAAAATATTTGAATTATTAATATATTTATATATCTATACTATTTCCTAAACTAACCGGGTTTATATCATTTACTTTGTCACTTAAATTATTGATTGGTATACTCCAGATTTTAATCGTGGCTTTCTTAAACAAATCTAAAAAAAGTACCCATTATCTATTCATTTTTAATTATATTCATATATTTAATTAGGAGTGACGGTAATACCAGTATATCGATTTGAGGTCGATACACCGGTATACCGTCCAATTTTTAAAAACGGTATACCGGTAATATCGAAAATACCGAAAATATCATAAATATCGAATTACCGAAGTGCCTATCGAAAATATCGATTACACCGAAATATCGAAAATATCGATAACACCAAAATTAGTAATTTAATATTTTAATCTATTTTTAAACTGTACAAAATTTCCAGTGGGAAATTACTACGGGCCTTCGATATAGAAACACTTATATAATAAATAATAAATATATTATCTCAAATACCGATGCGGGTCGGACCGTCGGGTCCGTATTGTTTTGTTCTTACCATTGTCGCGTGTTGCCGTCGTCACAGTATTAATATTTAATTCTTAATAGTCATGACAGTCAAGTGGTTTGTGGCGTTTGTGCAGTGTTACGACAGAAAACATTTTTATGAATATTATTCGTATTTGGTTTCAAAAGTGTTTAGATTTAGTTAAAACAATGGGTAAACAATCTCCGATTTGGAAATTTTTCAATAAAACTGGTAAAAGTACTAGCAAATGCAATAAATGTCGGCGTGATTGTGAAGCGAAAGGTGGAAACACAAGTAACTTAAGTAGTCACTTAAGAATTCAACATCCAAAGATTTACTTGGAGTTTTGCCACCAAAAAGCGTTGGCCAAAAAAAGGTACCTAATAACCTTATGTTTAAAATTCTTAACACTTATCACCTCAATGGCTTATTAGTTAATACATTAATAATATAGTAGGAACACTAGGAACTAGGAGACATGTTTTTAGAAAATACCGATAATATTGATATTACCGGCTTATCGAAAATACCGATAATATTGATATTACCGATTTATCGAAAATATTGGCATTATCGAATTATTTAGTACTTAAATGGCTACATCGAAGATATGTTTCTTTTGAAACAACAAATACCTACATTTAATTATTTTCTCTCGCACTTGCACACTTCTATAATAATTTTATTAACATATAGGTAATTATAGATATGAGAACGAATCTTCTACCGAAGTTGATAAGTTGAACAAATAAAAAATGATTCTAACACATTGTTGAATGTTACCGAAGACAAGGCCGCCCGCAGGGGGGGGCCGGGGAGGGCCATGGCCCCCCCCCCCGCTAATTTAGATAATACCTAATTTTTATTGTATTTATTTGCATTTTATAGGGCATCGGGTAGTAGGGTCCCCATATGATAGTCCCCATTCCAAGTATCCGCATACCATTGGTGTGATAAAAGAAACAATTAATTATTTTAAAGAAAGTTCTTTACGCCAATCAGCTGCTCCTAGTCTTACTAAATTATGTGTCACCAGGTGGTCTGAATCACATAAAGCGCTAAGAAAATTTTGTGAAAATTTTCTTTTGATCGTTGAAGCATTAGAATACCTTAAAATAAATGGAAATAAAGACACATCTTTAAAGGCCATGTATCTTTTAAACTCTGTTACTACTGCACAATTTATAATTTGCCTAAAAATAATTGCAAAATATTCTGCAATCATAGAACCTGTTACAAACATTTTACAGGGAGTTGATTGTGATGTACTAAATGCTAATGAACATATTAAAAAACTCATAAAACATATTACTAATGATAGATTTATGAGTGAGGAAATTTTTCTGAGCTTAATGGATGATGTAAATAAATACTTAATTGAACTTGGCATTGAATTAAAAACACCAAGAATAGCGTCAAAACAAACACTGAGAAATAATACCCCTTCATCTGATCCGGTAGATTACTACAGAAAATCAATTTTCATTCCATACTTGGATTCATTAATTACTTCATTAAATGACAGATTTGCTGAAGATTTTGAAAAATTTGAAGTTTTCTCAATCCATCCAAAATATATGAAAAGTATAAAAAAAGAAGAACTTATCACCAAATTGAAAAATATTAAGTCATTTTATGGAGATTTGGTAGATAATATATTAGAAGAAGGTCTTATTTGGTACAGCAATTGGAGTGAAAAAGAAATTCAAGATAATACAGATTTTCTTGAACTTTTAGATGAAACAACATTTTTCCCATCAATAAAAAATTGTATTTTAATAGCAATAACCCTTCCATCAACTACTTATAGTGTTGAAAGGTCATTTAGGTATGTATAATTTATTAATCTGCTTTTATAGTGCTTCTTCATAGATATTTTTGTTTTTGCTTTATATTATAGCTCACTTAAAAAATTGAAAACTTGGCTTCGCAGTAGTATGACACAACTCCGCTTGAATGGCTTATCACTTATGTACATTCATAGTGATATTTTAAAAAGTCAACAATCTGACATTGTTGAAGATACAATTAAGCTTTTCTGCATGGAACCACGGCGTGTTCAATTTTTATTTGACGATAATGATCAATGAGACATGAATTATTTATTATTAATTATTTTTTTTCATTTTTTATTATACAGGCTTATTTATAATAACAACATAATATTATACATTTATATATATATATATATATATGTATATACTTACTATATAATAATAATTTTTTTTTACGATATGATACAAAAAACAGAATTTATGGTAAGTGTATTATTGTTTCGCTGGCCCCCCCCGAGAAAAATTTCTGCGGGCGGCCTTGACCGAAGAACATAAAAATGGCGATGAAGATACACTCATGGAAAATAATGATGTCTCTTATATTTATAGTGAAAGTCAAACTTCTGAAGAAGGATTATCGACTCCATCTTCAAAAATCTCGTGAGATTAATAGTTTTAAATTGATAATCATAGCTGGGATTTCAATAAGTTTAGATTACATTTAGGTACAATAAAAACATATTTTTAAAAATGCTAAGTTACATAAATTATATTTTAATTAATGATGAGTACCTAATGATTTACCTACCTACAAATATATTTTTTAAAAAATCATGTTTTTATGTTTCTATTGGACAGCATTTATTAAATATTTTAATTTACTACCTTTACTACATATATGGGGTTTTACTGCATTTAATGATTTAATAATTATAAAAGTTTTTTTACTACTTTTTAAAAAGGCATTATGAATACATTTTAAAAGTGTCTTATTCTTAAATAAATGATTTATAATACATTTTTATATTCTAGGAATAAATCATCATTACTCTATCAAAGTAAACTGGGAAACGGATTTAAGAAATGTGATAAAAAAACGTCAACAATGTACACAAATGGTATTGCTTACTGGATTGCTACTGTCATGCAGCCATACAATGTTGTGTCAAAAGAAGGTTTTAAGCACATGATGGCTGTGTTGTGTCCTGGTTATACAGTTCCTAGTAGAAAAGTGTTTGCTGATACTAAAATCCCTGCTATTTATACTGATGTGAAAATGAGAATAGCAAATGATCTTCAGACTATACAGTATGCAGCCTTAACGTTTGATTGTTGGACTTCAAACACATTACACCCTTATATTGCAATTACTGCTCATGGGATTAATGAAATTTGGGAGTTAAAAACATTTTGCCTAAGTTGTACAAGCTTGGACATAGAACATACAGCAATTAATGTAAAAGAGATGGTACTTGTTGTGCTCGAAGATTGGAAAATTCCACTTTCAAAAATATCAGGTATTACAACTGATAATGGTACTAACATGATTAAAGCTGTACAACTATTGGACTTATTTCATGTTAGCTGCTTTGGGCACACTTTAAATAATGGTGTTTCAGCAGCTCTAAAATTGAAAC